GATGTCACACGGCCGTATGGCCTGGCCGTGTGAGTCGGGAATTTATGGGTTTTTAACCCAATTTGCAGCAAAGGAGAAGGGGGTTCCGAGTTTTAGAGAGAGAGCGATTCCTAGAGAGAGAAAGGGACGAACCAGAGTTCCCAAGTGCCCTAGCATGATCTTCATCACCATTGGAGCTCGGCTCACACTTGGAGAAGTGCCGATTGGCGACCAGGAGTAGAAACCCATCCTTCATAGCATGATTTCTACATCTGAGCTTGCTTTTGCTTCTCTCTCCATGGAGTAACTTCTTCATTCATCTGGGTATGGAGAACCCTAGATTTGTATGTTAGGTTTGATTGTATGAACCCAAGTACAGATTCTATGATTTGATTATATTCAATTGAGGTTTGAATTGTTGAATGGCATGAATCCTGATCAAATTCCTGTTATTTCTGCTTTGACCTAGAAAGAGAATATCTGCCTAGGTTGATAGAGCACCCTTAATTGAAGGTGGTGAATTGGCGACTTTAGTCGAGGAGCCAATTCACTATTATGTACCGAAGTTACTTCGGTAGTGGAGGTTTTGTTCGTTAGGGCCTCAATCTGTTTACTCCGGTGGAGGTTAGTCGCCGCTGGAGACTCAGATTGAGAGGGTCTGGAGACCTTTAGTCGAGACTTCAGACTGTTTAAGAACCTCCCACAGTATAACTATCATTAAAACCGAACTTGGTGAATTACAATCCGGCTTAATTGTAGTCTAGGGGGAACCATATCTGGGTGACCTCTTTTGACTTGAAAACAACCTTCTTGCTTGCTTTGTTTGTTTGCTTGTTTGAACCTACACTAAAGTTTCACTGCTAAATAATAAGAATTCGCTGAGTAGTCATCACATCTAGGACCCGGGCTTACATTAAAACACAAACCCGCTATACTACGCTTTAGGAAGTGGTTACACTTGGTCATTTTCTAGAGTGACAGTAGGAGTGAGTCAGTTATCAACTATCGTGAATCTCCTACTCGGCCAGAGTGGGATGACCATAGTGATTACCACCGTGGTGTCCTCCACGGTCTAGCACAGGATGTTCTTGATAGAGGCGACGAGACCATTCGAGGTGCAATCGGCCTACTCCTGAGCCATCTTCATCCTGTAAATGATGGCATTGATGAACCGCATGGGGGATAGCCCCGCCCCGGTCGCCCAAGGACGTCCACCACTCGAAACCTATCTCACTTCGAGCATGTGGAGAGGAGACGAGGGAGGAGAAGTTCAAGACTTCCGACCGCAACTCCGGACAATGATGGAAATACAGGTAGATTAACTTTTTGTATTAGTTGTGTTCAATTGTCCTCAATATGATGTACAACTAATCTATTTTGTGAAATGAGATAGGTGGTGCCCTGAATGTGAATGCACAAACCAACTTCGAGAATGGGACGGAGCCGGTGATCCATAATGATACAGGTTAGAAATAATATTCCTAATTTCGGGTAAACATATTGTATAACTCTTTGTATTAATTTATTGTGTTATGTTCTTTGACTAGATGGTGCCCCGAATGTGAATGCACAAACCAACTTCGAGAATGGGACGGAGCCGGTGATCCATAATGATACACGTTAGAAATTATATTTCTAATTTCAAGTAAACATATTGTATAACTCGTTGTATTAATTTATTGTGTCATGCTCTTTGGCTAGATGGTGCCCCGTGGAGGGTTGCTCGGATTCCCAATACTAGTTGGAAGAATTACCCATGGCTACATTGTTTGGAATCCTACCTGCAATGACTAGTTCGTTGTTTGCACAACCCTATTTCAGATGGACATTGTGGATTTCGAGTTATATCACAAGCAGTTACTGGGGACCAAATGAGGTTGAGCAGCTCTAAGACAATTTGTCACATTTTCCCAAAATCTACCATCAAGTACAAATCCTTGAACTCTTTTTCCTTCACAAAGCTTAGAAAAGCTACTCTTCCTCCACTTCTCAGAAGAAAACATTGTCATGAAGGAACCCTTATTGTCATTAAGAGATCCCAATGTCAAATATGATGTAGCAAATCTTGTAACAGCAGGTCTAACCAAATCTTTCCCTTGAGTGAACTCCCTCATCATGGCAATCATCATTGTTCTTGCATAAATGAAATTGGTGATCTTCTTACCATTGGAAATTGTGGTCTCTTGCACCTTAATATGCTTTGCAAGATCCTCTAGCATCAAATCCAAACAATGAGCAACACAAGGTGTCCAAAACAAATGCTTCTTTTTTTCCATCAACAATTGTCCTCCTGCCTTATAAGCTGAAACAATATCTGTCACAACTTGAACAACATTCTCTTCCCCAACCTTCTCAACAACTCCATCTAACATCTCAAACACCTTTTGAGCAGTCTTCGAAAAATCAGAAGTGTCAACAGCTTCAAGAAATACAGTTCCACGAGGACTATTAACCAAAAAGTTACATAGAACTCGCTGTTTCTTATCTGTCCATCCATCAGAAATTATTTTGCAACCCACCTCCTTCCATTCAGCTTTGAAGATCCCCAATTTATTCTCCACTTCTGCATTTCCTCTTTCAGCAAAGTCTCCCTAATCTCATGATATGAAGGACCCTTAAAACCAGGACCATGCCGAGCTATATCTTCCAACATTTGGTGATAGCTATCGCATCTAGTTGCATTGAATTGAATAGCATTTTCATACCACCATTTTGATATCGACTTGCAAGCCTTTTCCCGGAGTTCTTTCTTCAAAATTGTAGTTATTGTTTTCTGTTTTCCAGTGCCACTGCCACTAGCTTCATTAGCAGTTCCACTACCCTCTCCATCACGACTAAAACCGAGATCATGTAGCTTCCTTGCCTTAGTCGCCTTCTCTTCTTCAGTTGCAGCAAGTAGCTCTAACATTTTTGCTCTAACTTCATCAGGAACACTAACACAAGCGATAGAGTCCTTTCTTGTTCCTGCAAGATGATGTTTGAAGCGAGATATACCACATACTTCCTTATCACAATACTTGCATCTCACTTTCTGCCCCATTACCGAGTACATCTATACCATGCTGCCAACCGGGATCTAGACGATTGCCCCGTGCATTTTTTCTCTTCGCACTAGAATTGAATACAGTATTGCTTGCACTAGTACCCCCACTCGACATAATTGAAATTGCAAATCCTACATAAAACAAAGAATAAGTGTTATAAATCACAAAATCTCAACTTCTGAACAATATGTATATCACAAAATTACCCTGCACAATAAGGAGAGCAAGCAGTAAGTCGTATGAACTCATGGCTAAGGATGTTGCTAAGTTCACCATCTTGATTATTTCAATTCTAAACTGGAAAGGCAGTATTAGTTCCAAGAGCAAGGGAAAAGGGGATTTACCTAAACAATATGAAAACTTGGAAGTCAAAACCCTTTCCCAAACTCTAAATAACCACTTCCAAAAACAATGAACTATAGGATGCCAATCAATTTTCAGCTTGCTACTTTAATTGCACCAATTTCATCTATTTTTGAGCTCTTGTGCTGCAAGAACGTAAAATGGAGAAACATAATTTTTGGTATTCAACTGCCTTCTTACCTTACTTTTCTTGTGTCTGTGAACATCATTAAGATCTTCGCCCCCATCGTGTTTTCGTTTTTGAATTTGAATACGTAAGATTCCATTTTAGATTGCAAATTGAATCAACGAGAAGAGAAAAACCTTTGACGGCGAAGAGCGACGGCCGGCGGGTGAGGACGACGGAGTTAGGGCGGCAGTGGGCGACGGGGCACTGGAGTTAGCGGTAGCTGTGGACTTGCGACGGGCGACGACGACGAGCTACAGGCGATTGGGGACGGGCGGCGGCCGAGGGAGACAGGTGGCGGACGAGGGCGACGGGCGGCGGCCGATGGCAACGGGCGGCGGCCGAGTGAGGGACGAGCGGCGGCCGAGGGAGGTGACGAGCGGCGACAGAGGGAGATGACGAGAAGGGTGGGTGCGGCGCCGGAGATAGATGGAGATGAGATGGAATTAGGTTTCAGCGTAGCCCCTTCTCCCTTTTGGCAGTCCGATAGTTTTTTTTAAATAAAAAACGATGTCATTTTGATGAAAGGATACAGTTTTGCTCCTTTGCTTGGAATCGTATAAAAACGGTATAAAAACGTGTTTTAACAGATTTTACCGATTCTACTACGCTTTTGACCAATTTTGAGTAACAATGATTTTATTGGTGATTTAAAACGTTTTCCTACCCTAGAAACGTAAAATCGTACGATTTTATGATTTAAAGCGCGATTTTGACTACATTGCGTTGTATACAGTCAAGGCGGTCGTTATACCGTGCTACCTATGACGGCCCCACCAGGAGTAACAAGACCATGTGGGATCTTATCACTACATTTTACGGGGGATTATTGGGTGAGACTTGACTTTCGACATGGTCAAGTGCCCCTGCCTCCAATTAATGCCCTTTGGCCTATTTTTAATGACCCTAGTGTCAATGGGTGGGATCAATTCTTCTTACATGAGCGTGCACTTTATGATAGTTTGAACCCACGGGGATGACGATTGGAAGTATATTTACGAATTGTATAACTCTCTATTATTGAAACATTTAGTAATCTACCATGTTGATTAACTATTTTAGCAATGCATTGAATGTAACTAAAGTAAAAAACACAACGTCGGAGTTCAACTACAAACGATGACAAATAAAAAACAGAAACGTCTTAGTTCAACTACAAACGATGACAAATAAAAAACACAATCGTCTCAGTTCAACTACAAACCATGACAAATAATAAACACAATCGTCTCAGTTCAACTACAAACAATGACAAATAAAAAATACAATCGTCTACTGAGGCGGCTGCCCTACCAACTGGTCGTACAACTCGTGAACCCCAGCTATCATATCGTAGAACTTACCACCGTCCTCCTCAAAATTACTCTGGTCCCTCGTCTGCAACACGGGACCTAAACGATCTACAATCTGCTCTCTCAACTATAAATAGAAAACAATGTTAGAATAAACAACAAATGTCCTTTATATTTGGAAAAGCAAAAGAAAGTCATAACTAACCTAATGAACTAGTAGTGGTCGCTGCTGAGGCACCCCATCAGAGCTGGGGTGGGTGATCCGTGGGTGTGATCTAGTCAGATACCAGTCAACGTACTCATCCACGATCTCCGATGGGTGCTCGTACGGCTTAGAAGCAAAATTCAAATCTAGACGATGGGCTGCCACGTTATCCCACAACTGATTCACAAACGGATCCCAAAGGACTGTGTAACTGCTGCCGGAAGCCATACGGTACTGGTCATGTGGTACCATCATAGCACGGGGGATAATCTTTCGGTATCCAAACTGGCACAGACAACGTGCATGATCGTATCCCTCAACAATGTTAGAAAAGCGAATGATCCCAGTAAACAAGGAGCGGGGTATCTCCATGTAGCCATCTCGTCCGTATGGAGTCCAGGTCACATCCTAAGCTGAAAGCTCATCCAACAATTGTCGATAACGTGCTAGCCTCTGTCTAGTATCATCCCCACCTGGCAAAAGGGAGAAATCCACGAGGAAGCACGAGGTGCATCCGGAGACTGCGACAACTGGCTCGGAAAAAATAGAGGAAAGTACTCATATATCCAAGCCTGAAGCAGGGTCAAACAACCAAAAACAGCCTTACTACCCGCTCGTCTGGCCACCCCCAACTGTCTGTAGATATAGGCTAGTGCACCAGTTCCCCAAGCGTAATCAGTCAATCGTCGATGGTCCTTTAGAAACAAGTTAATCGCAAGACGAAGGCGATCATGATTCTTATCCACAAAAAGTGTGGATCCCAGTAACACAAATAGGCAACACTCCACCTCCATCTCCTTAATCTTCAACTCTCCCCCACTGATGACTCGATATTTGCACATGTTTTTCCCTCTACTTCTTGATCGTTTAAGCTTGAATTATCTCTTCTTTGGCCTATTTTACGCTAGGTTGTGTTCCTTTATCACATTTCAGGTCCTAGCATGTAAAGTGAAGCATAGGCGCAAGTTTGAAGTCAATCAGAGATCAATTGGCGATTCGGGAGAAGAAACTCGAGCATGACATGAAGAAGAATTGATTTCTGCCTCATTTATGTAAAAAGAATCATGCAAGCTTGTCATGAAAAGAAATAGGACGAGACTACGAGTGTCTGGGATCAAACGGCGACTGATTCAGAGTCCGGACGAGGGAGTAACGAAGCATTGAATATAGGAGAACAGGTTCGGCAGTAAAAACACGGGCAGACTACCCTAAAAACACGGTCGTGTTTTATCTGGCCCCCGCTAGTGTTTTTAATGCCGAGGGCGTGTCGTGAGGGCTGCTGGGGGCAAAACAAGGGCGGGAATAAGTAAAACATGACCGTGTCCTCGACCGTGTTTTGCCCAGAATCGGGTTTTTGAGGCAGATTCAAGCCAAAGGAAAGGGAGAGCTGGGTTTTGGTTCCCAAACACCCAAGGGATGAACCCTAGAGAGAGAACGACTTGGGAACATTCTTGGAGCTATTTGGAGGATTTCTTCGCCATTGGAGCTCGGGAATCAAGCTTGGAGATGGAGATTGAAGATCTAGATCAGATTTCTGCAGTCTCTCTCTTCTCTATGGATTAACTTCCCTTCACTTAGGTTTTGAGGAACCCTAGTTCCATGTGTTACGATCTTTCTTGTATGAAGTTTTGGATGCTATATTGTTTGATTATAATCAATTGAGGCATGATTTATTGAGTCAATTGAAGCCTGATCATCTTCTCTTGATTTCTGCTTTAACCTATGTAGATAGAATCCAATTAGGTTAAGAGAGCTTCCTTGATTGATAGTGGTGAATTGGTTGTGCGAGAGTCAATCAATTCACTGCTTTATACTGTAATTTATTCCAATAATGGAGATATGTGTGAATCACCTTAGCAGTCTATTCCAGCTGAAAGCTAGTCGCATGCTGGGTATACTGTCTAAGATGGCTTGGTCAGCTTAAGAGATTCCAAGCTAATTTAGGATCTTCCGTAGTTTAATCAACAGTAGACCAACCAAATGTAATTTCAACGTGGACCTAGTTGAGGAGCTAGGGGGAATCATACCTAAGTGAGTTCCCAACTTGTAATTAGTAGAGTAGTTAGTAGAGTAGTTTAGTAAATCAATCCTTAATCTAGTTTGCTAGATAATGAACTGAAGCTGAGTAATAGTAACTCTAGAGACCCGTGGATTCGATATTTATTACTTGTGCCACTATACTGCAGTCCCTTTCATTGGTTACACTTGGCCGTTATTAGGTGTGGTGCGTGTCAAGTTTTTGGTGCCGTTGCCAGGGATCGAACCCGGGTCACCCGCGTGACAGGCGGGAATACTTACCACTATACTACAACAACTTTCATTGGTTACACTTGGCCATTGTTAGGTGTTGTGTTTTAGCGTGTCACCCACACACCAACAATCCCTCTGCATGCATAGCACCATTATCGTACCACTTAGACTTCCACTTACCACCAACATGAGCATCCACCGAAAGTCTAACTAGACCACCCATGTCTGACTTAAGAATATCCGGCGACGCCTCATCTCCCATCATCTCTCCAAACGGCATGTGGAAGGTGTTTGTGTCCGGCTGCCACCTTTCCACAAATGTCAATAGTAGAGCCGTGTCTAAATGCTGCATCATGCACCCTGTCAAGTGATACAATCCTGTGGCTTCAACCATCTCCTTGGAACCCTCTGCACTCCACTTATATCGCCTCAAAGACTCTACAGCTTCCGGCCTATGGAACGGTCCTGCTCAGGGGAAGTCCACAGTACAAAGCCAATGTGACCTCCAAAGCTAGGGATCACATCGAGAACCACTGGTCCACCTGAACACATATGAGACTCGGATGTAAGAAACCACAACATATCTTTCCTCGTGGTCTTCCTCTTCCTATTTCCATCTCCGCTTCCTCGCTACTAGGTTTGGACGCATAACGTCCATCGGGCCCACAGAAGTGTGAGGAGGCAGTAGAAGATATCCTGGCCCGCGTCGTCTTCCCCACGCCTAAATCAGCTTGAGGTGGGGCATCCCTAACCTCAACATCACCAGAATCTGGGGCATCCCCAACCTCAGCATCACCAGCATCATCGTCATCATCGACAATGGAATCACTCCAATTAGCTTGCCATGCCGGTGCACCCTCTGGTGTAGGAGTACTGGTAGTACCTCGACTAAGAGACAACTGGCCCACAATAGGGTGGCCGTCAAGACGCACTACATCCGCCTTCTTCTTCTTCCCTCTAACCTTAGGTGGATTTTTTCTTCATTTTCCTTCCTACCAGTCGCCGTAAGTCTACACCGACGAGCTTCCATTCTCTCCTTATTTCTCGCCTTAATCATATCCGGTTTACACATTCCATGTCCAGACATCTTCAAAAAAAAGTTTAAATTATTAATAATGGATTACATAAAGTAATTAATTTAATATTTTCATAATTAAAATTATAAAACTAATAGTTTGAACATTTATGTCAATTAATCACGATTTACATAAAAGTAAATAATTAATCAAGGTAAAATTATTAATAATTAAGTAGATAAACAAATTACTTTGAAATTTTGATTATTAAAATAATAAAAATACATTTTTAATTTTTTATAATGTTCTTTAAATTTTTTTATCATTAATTAACATTTATCGAATACTTTTTAAAATTTTTTTTATCATTATTGACAAAATATATAACTAAATTATTATTATTAAGTATATTTTTAATCATTTTTTATGATTATTAACATTAATATAAAACAAAACAGAATATTTAAAAAAAGCGCATTCAAACAGCGGTCAACGCGCGATTAGTCCGACGGTCAACCCTTGGTCAAACTGCGGTTTGACTGCGGTCGGCTTCTTACCTTCTTCTCCGGCAACGCAAGCAGCAGGCGGCGAGGTGAGCGCGGGGCGACAGCGAGGTGAGCGCGGGGCGACAGCAAGGCTCGCGCTGACGGCAATGGGACGCGATGGAGGACGGCGTCGCGAGCGTGAGCGGCGAGGTGAGGAGGACGGCGACGACAGAACAAGCGGTGGCGGCGACTGATCGAGCGACGACGGCAAGTTGCAGAGGTGGCCTGCGGTGAAGGGAGGTGAGTTGGTGAGAGGGAGTTGCAGAGGGGAAGGACACGCAAGAAGGAAGAGTGTTTTAGTTAAGGCTTATTTGTTTCTTTCAATTTTGAGTTTTTCATTAAGGGTATATAGATAATTTAAAATTTAAATTAGGGCGATCTTTAACAATTTGAAGGACGACATTTAGCAAGCGAGCACCAAATCACCCCTAAGAGTAGTATTCACAATTATTATCATATTCCAGGAACATCATCCACTAGTTTCCACTCCAGTTCCCCCGGTGGCGGGAAACCTAAGCCCAAAACCTCCGCCAGCCCGCCAAATTTACCAACGAAACCGAAAACCCAATCCCAAACATTGACTCAATTCGCTTTATATAAAATCAATCCCTCCACATTCCAAAGCGTTCTCCCGCTCCTTTCCTCCATTTCTATCCTTCAAATCCGCCTTCAAAACCCTAACCCTAACCTCTGCGCGGGAGAAGAATCGCCTCGACAAGATGTTGGAACTCCGTCTCGTGCAGGGATCCCTTCTGAAGAAGGTCATGGATGCAATCAAGGACCTCGTCAATGACGCCAACTTCGACTGCTCGTCGGCCTCCTTCGCTCTCCAGGCCATGGACTCCAGCCACGTCGCCCTTGTGGCTCTGCTCCTGAGAGCTGAGGGTTTCGAGCACTTCCGCTGCGACCGAAACATCTCCATGGGCATGAATCTCGGGAACATGGCGAAGATGCTCAAGTGTGCCGGCAACGATGACATCATCACCATCAAGGGTGACGACGGCAGTGACACTGTCACTTTCATGTTCGAGAGCCCAAGTAAGATCTGCTGCTCCCTTCCCCTTAGTTACAGTTTTCAGCTTTTTTTGTTATTGGTATTTCTGGTTGGTCGGCTGAAAATGTGGTGGAATTAGGGTCTTAGGCCTTCTTGAGATTTAGGACGGTTTGGTGGGAGGATATGCTTCTACAAGAACCCATTTCTTGTGCAGTTTTTCCCCCATATAAAATGCTTTAGGTACATGCCGAAATCCGCTGATTCCATTCGATTGGTTGCTTTTGCTTCCCTTAAAAGGCAGGATCTAGTTTAGTAAGTTCTTGGAGTTTGTTAATTTTCTGTCCATCAAAGGCCTTTCATCCATGGCACTTGTTAGTCCTACAGAAGGCAGTGTGAATCATGTAAGATCAATCAGTAGCTGCAGCATTCAATGTCCTGATAGCAATTAGATAGTTTTAAAGTTGGAATCCTGATGCTAGCTAATGGTGTTATATATTTTTCTTTAATAATTGGAGTTGTCCACCATTGGTTTCTCCTAGTTTCAAGAATGGGATTTTGGATAGAAGCTATTTGTTCCTTGTAAAGAGCTTAATACTCTTAGTCTCAAGGAAGATGGTGACATGTAGTTCGGCTGCATGAAAGCTTCAGAATCTGCTGATGTGATAATAACTGTTTAGGTTAGAGAGGAAGTTGATATTAAAAAAGAAATGCTCATATCTTTGCGAGATGTTGGTGCACATACAGTGTGTTTGTATTTCCTCTGAAGTCAGTTCCTGCTAGTCTTTTCTGACATTTATGCTTTCGGCTTTCCCTCTTCATTTTGACGCTGCAGCCCAAGACAAAATTGCTGATTTTGAGATGAAACTGATGGACATTGATAGCGAGCACTTGGGGATCCCAGATGCAGAATACCAGGCTATTGTCAGGATGCCTTCAGCTGAGTTTATGAGAATTTGCAGAGATCTTGCCACCATTGGTGACACTGGTAATCTCTTTTTCTATTTCCTTTCCACCAATTGTAGCATCTAGCTTTATTGCTGTTATGTTGGTAGCTGATTTTTGCATTTGCTTGTAGTCGTCATATCCGTGACAAAGGAAGGTGTGAAATTCTCTGCACGGGGTGATATGGGAAGTGCAAACATCGTCCTGAGGCAGAATACTACTGTTGATAAGGTATCTTTCTTCTCTTTGCTAGAGAAATTGTAATCTTGGAAAAGAAAGTTATAGTTTGATATCTTCAACAAAAAACCACTGGTGAGTTCCTTGTTATTGATTTGTTTTTCCCAACAAATTTCAGCCAGAGGAAGCAACAATCATAGAGATGAACGAGCCAGTCTCCCTGACCTTTGCTTTGAGATACATGAACTCCTTCACCAAGGCTACTCCATTGTCCAATACAGTCACACTTAGTCTGTCTGCAGAACTGCCTATTGTGGTTGAATACAAGATTGCAGAGATGGGTTACATAAGATACTACTTGGCTCCAAAGATCGAAGACGATGAAGAGGAGACAAAACCTGAAGGATGATCCCCTGTTTCCCTGTTCATATATGATCAGTTTCTCGTCTTAGACAGACTTCAGTTTGCTCTCTAAGTTTTCCCGGATTTACTGTTGATGCACTGGAGAGTCTGTGTCATGCTTCTAGGTTGGTTTATGTGTTGATGCCTGAACCTTTCTAATGCTTGGGTCCTTACATAGCTGTTGATTGCTAGTCTGATGATACAGTCATGGGGAATTAGTTAGTAGTTGTAACTTTTGAAATCGAATTGGTGACATGACTGCAATCAATCATGTAGTTAGTTTATCTTTTGCCTTCTTTGATCTGACTTTAATTCACTGATCCATCCATATGCCAAAGTTTTCACAAACACAGGAAGTAAAACATTAATCTAATGACGCCTTATTTTGGGTAAAAAGTGAATTGCGGCTGCTTGCAATCACTTAATTTACAGAAAGTGTAAACCCAGCAGAAAAATTATTATCATGTCCATAGCGAAGAAGAAAATCTGAAATTGCCTAATTCTGCTTCCCATTTGATATCAAGATGGGTATCAAGTGTTCTTCCTGTTAAATATAAATGAATGCCAACGTTGGCATCTACTACTACTAGTCTACTACAGAAGGACTTCCCGGTGGGTTTTCCTTCCACCCTGCTCTACAAACAAAGCTAGTATTCTCTTGCGCTAGTTTCCTTGTTGTGTCTGTGTGATGGTGGCAATGTAAACGACTAAAGACTTGCTATTTGCTCCTTTTCTTGGCCTCATTGTAGAGGATGACCCCAGTTACAGTGACACTGTAGCCAAGCATTCCGGTGAACGACACCGGGTTCCTGAATATCAAAATGGACAGCACTACAGCCACTGCACCCTTTGCATTTCCCAGCACCTGCGACGAAAGCAGAAAGTTACTGACAACTGTGAATGTAAAACTCTGATTCAGAAGATGATCATGATGGAATTAATACAGGGGGGCAGGGTAAGGCAGGGCAATAGAGACCTGGAGAGTCAAGGCGCTGGTGTGTTTGGTGACGAGGAAATTGGTCAGGTTGACCAAGTAGGAAAGCGAAGCATTGAAGAGCAGGTAAAATAGGAACCTCTTGTCATCCTTGGCAAGTGCAATTGTGATCCCAACCACATCTTTTTCCATAATGAGCGCCGTCGGGAGAAGGAAGGCAACTGCCACTGGTGCCATGTACATCAGCAGGTTCATCGAGTGCAGCTTTTCCCTGCAAATGTCACAACAATTAGCAGCAAGCCAGAAAAGACAAGTGCAGTGCAGAGCAGAGCAGAGCAACCTACCCTTCAGAAGACAGCAAAATCCCCTGAAGCACCGTCTTGAGAGCCCTGGCAGCCGTTGCTCCGACGCACATTATGAACCCAAACAGATGAAAGCTCGGCTCCCCCTGGACAAAACAAGCGGCTGAGAGACAAGAACAGGAAATGATTGCGACCTCTTTTCTTTCCTGCTTACCCCGCTGGCGACGACGACACCTGAGACGACAGGCACTAGGGCGGCGTAAGTGAGGAAGCCTTCCTTCTTGAGGGTCATCAAGTAGGCGAAGACGGCGGTGAAAAACGGGGTGGTGGCTCCGATTGCCTGGTTGAACGACACCGGGAGGTACTTGAGTGAGACGTTACCGGCGACAATGGAGGAGCAGAAGATGAGACCCAGAGCCGATATCTTGAGCAATTGCTGGCCGGAGCGGATGGTCTGGAGTGGGACGATCTTGAGCCACGTGATGGAGGCGTAGCTCAGCAACGAACAGGCCAGCATGTGGCAGAGCGTCAGGAAAATCGGGTACCGGAATCCGTAGTTGCTGAGCAGGTACTTGTTCAGTATGATCACTCCGATGTTGGACGAGTACCATACCGATATCAGCCCCACCGTGAACAGCCGACCCATCTCGATTTTTTTTGTTCCCCCTTTCGGAGAAGAGATAAACAAACAAAAAGGGTTCCGTTTTCTGATCTCAGAATCTGTCTGTCACATCTATCTATCTGATACGGGCGAATTGATAGGCTAAGGGTTCCATTAACTATGAATGAAGTAGGAGTGGTCGTAGCCTCGTAGAGTGGGGAAGAGGAGTTTTTGTTGGATTGAGTGTCTGCTGCGATGCGATTGCATTTTGGACGCCCTGGTTTGGCGAGGTTAACCAACCCTAAAAATTCTGATGAAGGTTACTTATTTTACGTAACTCGAAACCATCATGAAGCACTCCCGCGAAATAAATTGATATATTAGTAACCGCAGATGGAGGACATAAGATTCCACCTCCACGTTACATAAAAATAATGTTGTCTCATAATGAATTCCAAGATTTTAACATGGTTTACTATGGGGTCTAACAAATCAATTGTTTGGTAGATTTGATCTTTTATATTAACTAGATTTTACTCGGTCTTTGACCGAATGAGTTTTTTTTATCTTTTACATTGGTTAATATGTAATTATATTTAAAATATTTACTTGACTTGTTGGTCGGATGAATTTTATTTTATGTTGATCTATTTTTTCATGTTTTAAAATAATTTGAGGTTTTCTAAAATAGCTAATTCATTATTTTAAAGTAATCTTTATGGTATTTGTTGATCATAACATTAGAGATAATTAGTTAATATGTATTTTTTATCAAGTCGTCCTAGTTTACTGTTTTGTATTTTTCCCCCCTATATCTTAGAAGAAATTTGTGGACTTCTTATTATCGGATATAAATTTGGAGTTGGAAGGAAATATATGTCATCTAGAATTTGTAGAAATTGAATGTGTATAAAAAAATCAAGAGAATAAAGAAAATATTATGCCTCAAAATCTCAAATATGGAATAATACGAAAAAATAATGTTTATTGTATAAATTATTATGATTTAGTGTATAGGCTTGTTTGAATAATAAGTGAGGGTTGTTAAGTGTTAGATACTAATGCACGTACCAAAGTTAAGAGAATCCAAACATTATAAAAGCTTAAATTCTACTCTACCAATATACTCTTTGACGTTCCATGTGGAGTTAATGACATAAATTGTCACTCTATTACCCATTTTTCTCAAATCTATCCCTCTATTATTTTTCAAATCAAACATGTCCTTGTAATATATAGTATATAAGCATTATCAAATTAAATTTAGCCACTTTTATGTTTTATCTTCTCCATCTGCAACTCCCAATAATTAATAGCTATAGTCACATTCTCCAGCTGTTCCGCTTTCTCTTCGTTCGACCCAACAATAATTAAATGCAAAAACTTGTCTGTCACGAAAAAACTTGAAGACCGACTTTTGAATTTCAACCACTCTCTGGAATCGACAATTATTGATCGATTTGACTTAATCATAAAAATTGGAACACCAAATTTTTTAGAATATACCGATTTTAAAGATCAAAGGTTGTCAGTCCTGTTTAGCCCGTTGGCCCGGTCGATTAAGTGGGTTGAGGATTAATGGTTCATTCATTTTAGTCCACTTTTGCCCGGATATATGAAGAAGTCATTATAATGTTCATGGTGTCTTCTGTGCACTCACTTTTTTAGGCGCATTCAATGCACTCACTTCATAACCGTCATTTTAAACATGTGATTTATGTCATAATTAATGATGTCAATCATCACTTATGATCTGATGAACAATAACGCACATGAATTTGCATAAAAACCATTAAAGATTTACTTTAATTTGAAGAATTTAGAGTTTAGAGATTTAGTGTTAGGGTTTACAGTTTGGGGTTTAGGGATATAACTCAAAATTGGAGGTCTAGAGTTTAGGGTAATTCGCTAATTGGATGTTATAATATGTTATATCATCATATTACACTAATTCTACAAATTAAAATTCAAAATCTGACACCTTAAGACTAGTTTTTGAGTTGGGTGCATTGAACGCACTCATTTTTGTGAGTGCACCGAAGTAGTCACCTATTGTTCATATATTTATAAATTATATAAAATCTCATCTATATATGGATAATATTCTTCCTTGCCGTAACTATCTACATTGGTTTCTCTATCTGCTACTTTCCGCTATCCTCCTTCGAGCTCCTAAAAAGCCCTGCAACAACATGTATTCATCACGCGACGAAGGTCGCACTCCTATGACGCCGGTGTGTGTCAGATGTGAAACTAATGAGGAACGGCCAAGTGAGAATTGAGCGTGGGGGTGCTTACAAGGGAAGGCAATATGTGATGGAAGGCGAATTCTGATAGTAGTCTCTTTGTCAAACAGAATTGACTCGACGGATTTAGCTTACCAATTAGCAGAGCAGGAGCTAGAATGGGAGCGTAAGAGCGTATGTACTTTGAGAATTATAATTTGAGTGCGCCGAAAGAGCGTGAATATTATATTATTTTAATTAATATATCATTTAGCTTACTAACATTTTTAGTCAAAATATTACAACAATGCAGCGGAAAAATAAAAATAAAATAATTTTAGTAGGATAATAGTTTTAAATAATCTGATTAATCCCGAAAAGGGAACAAACTTCAAAAGTTGAATAGAAACCCATCAAAGTTTACGATACTGTTTTTTGTTTTTTATTGAAGTTTTTAGTTTTATTTTTTTAAAAGGAAAAGAGAAATGAATGCATCGTTTATCCACCCGCATGCACTCAATTCGTTTATCCACCCCCCATGCATCGTTCCTTCCCTTTCGATTCTTTGTTTCCTAAGCCGCCGCTGGAGATCTCCTGTAGATGTACCAAATTGGAAAATTCTATATCATCAGTCATCTAACTAACCTCTTATCCTTTTATTTGGCCACAAGCTCGTGATTTGATGATCTATTTTACAGCCCCCATTTAAGAACTTGTGGTGTACCATTTTCTTCTTTGCTCTGCAAATCTTTGATGGCACCACATGTATTCCTTTCTCCCACGAAGAAGCGAGCCATCGTCTTCGAGCCAAAGCTGTTGATTTGGCTATAACTTGTTTCATTTTACTTTGTTTATAGAAAGAAAAATCTCCCAAATAAGTGATATATGAAATAAAATTTGCGAACTTTGATTTTCGATGCTCTGATTTTTTAGTTTGAGCTACAATTTCTGAGTTTTAGAAATTTGTAGTTTCTGAAAAATAATTGTGAAGCAAAAATATCATTTATACTTTCACTCTTGTTGTAGAAAATTTGAAATGAGACAACAATTTTCTCATTTTAGTATTATATATTGTGTAGAGTGTATATAAAAACATGTCCTTTCCCTACAAATTCATTAGCACGTTTAAAAAAGGTGAAATGAACCAAATTATTAAACTGCTAATGATTGTTGGATCCAATCATGTCAGAATAGGAAGAAGTTTAAAATTTGACGGTTAGGTGAACTATAATTTTCAAAGAATCAGTCCCATGTTGTTTACACGAAGATATGAATACGATTGTGTCATAGTAGATCTAATTTAAGAATTATACATCACTTTTACATATTTAATACTGCAATTCGATATGGAATATTCAAACCAGTGATATTTGGGCCAGGATTTTAAATTTATCCTCTATTTATAAGATATATATATATATATATATATATATATATATAGGTGGTTCTATCGTACATTGGGTAAAATCTAGGGTACGGTATACCTTGAGCAAGAAACACTATATGGACCTCAAATTGACCAAAGTTTGACATCCGGTACTATTCCCAAACCCTTAAAGATTAAAATCTAGGTCTTAATTCTATAAATCTCACACATTAAGATCATTTAATTAGAAACAAAAATCGACGATCATGATTCGTCGAAATATATGCAACAAATTACATGCACAATCTTAGGAGTTAGGCTCTATGATTTTGAAAACTAAGACCTAGGATTCGCTCATCATAGGTTAGGGTATAGTATCATGCCTAGAAATCTAGTTAATTCGAAGTCTAGATAGCGTCTTCTTACTCAGGGTATGTAGTACCCTAGATTTTACCCAAGGTACGATAGAAGCCACCATATATATATATATATAGGAATTTAATTAAGTATTAAACAATAATTAAAATGAGGAATTTGGCATCTGTTAGTCACACAAAGTTTTAACTCAAATGCATGTTTCTCTAATAATTTTTGCTTCTTATTTGTATGAGATGAGGTCGACCGGCTCTATGACTGTGCACCTGGAGAAAAATAAAATTTACTATTGCGGGAATATGATGACTTTTGAGATGGTTTGGCCTTGTATTGTAGGCTCTTGAATCTAAAGAAAGAAGAAGAGACGATGGGATAGTCGAACCTGGTTTGTGATGCTTCATGTTGTGGGGTTCTGTGATAAGTAAAAGGATGATATGACAGCATAGCTACATATATGAATTGTTGAAAACAACATCATTTTGAAGTGGCCCAATGCTCGAATCAGTTGGTTAACTCGGTCGGATTTGCCGTTGAGATAGATAAACTCGACTTTTACCAAGCCCGTGTAGACAACCAACTGGGCCTTCGGCACCCGCTAAGATACTCAGGTTTAGGTAGAATTGGTTTGACCAGCAGAGTCATACTCGAATTGACAATCATGGTCATGACTCTTGTTGTCTATATTTGAAGATACATTAGTTCAAATCCCAATACTTGTCTATTTTCTATACAAAATAAAGCTAAATAATGACGAAGACAAAAATGTCATTCATACTTTTGCTCTCATTGTAGGAAATTTGAAATGAGACGAAAATTTTGTCAAGGCAGTAGTATATATTGTGTAGAGTGTATATGTAGACATGTCTTTGCTCTACAATTCATTTTAATACATAAAAAAGGAGGAAATAAACCAACTTATTAAAATCAACCTCGTTTAATGATTGTTGAATCCAATCATGTCTATTAGATTAGGAAGATGTTTAGAACTTAACGGTTAGCCTAAAACATCCAAAGAACCCATCCCCATATTGTTTGCAGAAAGATATGGATATGATTGTCTCACGATACTTCTATAAAGTAATACTAATGTAAGAGTTCAACATCGCTTCTACAAATTTGATATTGCAATTCGATATGTAATATTGAACCAATGATAAATAGAACTTCAGTGACCTTATAAGATAAATAGAAAATTATAAGATAAATAGAAATTTAACTTAAGTATCAAAGTATTATAAAAAGAATAAAATATGAAAATCAAAGTATAAAAACACCAATAAGTACCAAGCGAAGATTTAGTGACCTTAGCTAACCGTTAAAAAGTTGTTACTTTTTAATGTTAGCTTCATGTACGTTTTTTATTTAAAATAGTACAACTATTATATGTAGTTTGATTGGTTAAGATTCTTGTCATTGTTGAAAATGACCACGGTTCAAATCCGAGTATGAGAGTGATTATTATTAGGGACATCAGCGGCGGATCCAGGACGTAATACAGCACTGGGCCGCATTTAAATGAAATATTATATATCATAAAAAAATATATATAATAACTATAGTTTTCATTCATTACAATCCCAATTCTTCTAGAAGTTCTTTTAATTTGGCAAATCCATCCATCCACCTCTTTGGATTGCTTCAAATCTTCTTTTCATTTCATTAATAATTCTTTTCACTTGTATAAAAACAAATTACAAATCCATCAATAATAGAATTCCATCCATACCAAAAGTATATCCATCAATAAATATTAACCAAATCTTTGAAAATACTAGTCAAATATTAACTTTCAGTTAGCAGTTTTGTTAGTATTATTAACTTGGCAACATTATACCACTTGGAAGAGACACATGGAAACAAACATTCGAAAACTTTAATTCTTTAAATAAGAAAATAGTTAACAAATTATGAACGATAACATAAAATAGCTAATATTTTGATGTGTTACAAAAAATTTGGCTAATATTTTGTATTTCGAAGGGTTTGGCTAATATTTAAAAATGCAGGAATGATTTGGCTAATAATAAGTATTTATATTTTTTATTTCAATGAAACTTTATACTTAGTCTTTTACGTTTCAAACTTTTAGATATTTTTTCTAAAATAAAACTATTTGGACTAGAATTTTTAAGCTAAATTTAGAGTAGTGGTTTGGATATGTTATCTAGACCATTTTCCTACTTACATAAAATCCTATTATAGAATAACACTCGACCGACTTCTAAATATTACTGGACCGAATACCCAACTTCAAAAAATTTATAAGCACTGTACTAATTCTGGATCTGAAGGAGGGCTGGGCCGGGGCCCGGGTTGGCCCAGCCCTAGATCCGCCGCTGAGGGACATTAAGGATGACATGGGATCGTGTGGATTGTGTATATCAATTATCTTATCCAAATTGTTTGTGTTTTATTCATACCAATATAAGAATCGAATAGAACATCAAAATCATATTCATACTCAATTGGGTTTTAATATCCACGTTTACTGAAATTACATTATTGAAAAAGTACAACAACAAATTACTAGAGTGAAGAAAAATATTTATAATATAAAAAAAATACAATTTCATAAAAAACATTATATATGTATAATAAACATAAAATATATTGATATGAATATTGATTATTTTTTAACAAAATACATATGTATGCTGCAATAGGAAATTGACGATTTTGAGTTGGATAGTAAGAAACAAATAGTAATATTCATATTTGAGTTTTACCTTACTTAATTAGAAAGGATTTCGACCAGTAATCAAAGGTATGGTTATTTTTACCATCAAAACTCGACTATAGTAAGGGAGGTTTGGGGATATTCGGTATGGTAGTATTAATGAGGTGAATTAATTTAGTAAGTTAGGATTTGTTTGGCAGCATATTTGGAGATGCTAAGAGGGAAGAAGGAAATAGGAAGAATAGGGATGGCAATAGGTCGGGTTGGGTCGGGTTTTGGCAAACTCAAATTCAAATTCATGGGTTTATCTGTGGAAAAAATTCGGGGTAAGATCTACTGGGTTTGAAAAACTCAAACCCAACCCAACCCGTTGGGTATCCGCGGGTTCATGGGTACCCATAGGTTTTTGTCGTAAAAAATTTACAATCACAAGTTCCTATCAAAATAAAAGTCAAATATCAATCTCTCAATACAAATTATCCATATATAAAGCACCATTATGGCTCAGTTTGGCCATGTTGTAGCTTTTGCAGAAGCAGCTTCTGACTTGGGCTTTTAGAGAAGTACTTTTCAGAAAAAGCAGTTGACTGTTTGGCTGAAAAACTATTAAAAGTGCTTTTTAATATGAGAAGTTGTGTAAAATGACTATAAAGGACTTATAATATAAACTATGAATAATGATTCTAAACAATAAAATGTAGTCAAAATGGATCTTGTTAAACTTCTTTTATACTAATTAATATGTTTTAATTATTTATTTTATTTTTTAAAATGATATAAATGAAAGAAAATTATGTTTTCTGAAATAATATTAAAATATGGTAAGGATAATCTTGTATTTCAAAACAGTTTTTCGCAGAAGCTCCAAATCGGAGCTTCTGATTTTATGTTGTACAAAAGCGCTTTTCGGCTTTTCAAAATCCGAGCTTTTAGAGGTGTTTGGCCCTGCTTCAGCTTTTGAAGTCGAAAAGCACTTCTAATAGCCAGGTCAAACATAGGCTATAGAAAATTCAAGCAAATCACAAATTAACCATACAAATTGTTCAATACCAATCTAGAAAACTCAGAAAAATTGAAGCAAATCATAAATTATCCATAAACAACATGATTAAGTCTTCCTTCTTGTCAATTAAGCTTTTTCACTCCCACTCGATAATATCAACTTCATTCTACACAATTAAAAAGAAAAAATTATACATGTCTCCACAAACATAAAGAAGATTAGTTGTTTAGAAATATACCGGGAAAATTAATTATATGGGTGTGAAAGGGTACCCATGAGGCGGGTTTACCTAAACCCAAACCCAACCTGGTGAATAGTGAACGGGTTTAAACCCGAACCCGGCCCAAAACCCATCAATACGGGTTTTATCCGCTTTGACCGGGTTGGATCGGGTACCCGCGGATTCGGGTTTTGTTGCCATCCCTAGGAAGAATGGCGGGCCAAGTCAATAATCAACCGGTCAACTTAGTTTTTCCCCTTCGGTTTCATGTTTTATTATGTGTGAAAAAATCTAATAACAGTTCACTTTATTATTATGTTTCGTACGGATTTTTCGAAGTAGAAATAGTACATAATTTGTAATGCAACAAGTGGTATTTTCAATGAACCGAGCTTTGCAAGGCTCCCTCCCGTTAGTAAATGGTATATGTTGCACGGCTAAATTTTTTTCAACAATTTGAATTATTTGAATTAATTGGTTCTTGACATGATATTAGAGTTTTCTGCAACCGGAGGATCTTCTAGTCGACTCTCAATGACCCCATCTATTCTATTAAACACATGTTGCGATTGGCCGTCTTTTGGGGTTGTTTATTCTAGCAATTTCGTATTAAACATGTTTACCAAGAAGCCAATTACGAGCTGACTATCTTGCTTTTTTAAGTCAATCTTCACCTGTTGCAGCTGTTCAGAGTAACGAACACTACTTTGCGATGCAAGTTATATATCGATCAAATTAAGGTTGAACAACTGAAGCTATTCGATCAAGTCAAGGTTAAACAATTCATTAAAAAAAAAAAAAAGTATGAACCCATCCTCAGGATCACATTCTCCAAACCCGCATCATACATCATAAACAAACAATATCAATCTTGTATCCACAAATGGGTCTCGATAGTAGATTACATTTCTGGTGAGAAAAAGTAAAAAGATACCTTGTGCCGCTTATATTGAAAAGATGAAAACGATGCAGTTAATGTAAACATAACGCAAGTCGCCGGCTTAGCACCAATTTAGGGATACCAACAACTCAAATTATTGAGATTAAATGATTAGCAACACAATGTTCTTTTTATTTTTGCCATTTTTGCTGCCCAGGCAAAGCATATGGCGTTATAGCGTGTGCGTAACCTTTGCATGAAACAGAGGGGCCGCGGACGTGCGTGTCGAGAATGGTGGATGGACTGACCCTATTTTCGGCCGCTCCCGCCTCCCGGCGAGACTAGCGTTCTGTAAAAGTTATAGCCTTACAAAACGATTTTTATCGGAGCATGTCCTTTGTTAAGGACCCATACCAACAACTCCATCCATGCTACTGCTACAAAAATTTTCTCACACAAAGCAATAACCTTAAGAAAAACACAAGAGTACCAGCAGAATAACTCCCAGTTATTGTTCAAAATGGAAACCAGCAGGGGAGCCTCGAAACGAATCAGATCGATCTCCAGTCTTCCCCGACAAAGCTCATATTATCGCCAAACTCTTCCTCAATCCGGAGCAACTGCAGCGTCAAAGAACACAGAATGAGACATTACACGAACACACTGCTAGAAGAGGGAGGGAGGGAGAGGGCGTTTAATGTTTGTGGTGGTTGCTGGAGAGGAAATTGGAATGTGTACCTGGTTGTACTTGGCCACTCGCTCTCCCCTGCAAGGAGCACCTGCTTTGATCTGACCCAACCCGAGCCCCACCGCTAAATCAGCTACAAACGAATCTTCGGTTTCTCCACTTCGATGAGACGCCACCACTCCCCAGTGGGCATCCTTTGCTAGCCTCACTACCTCGAACACCTCTGTCACCGTCCCAATCTGATTCACCTGATTTAGTAAACACGCCATTTTGGTTAGCATAATTCCAGGAGGTTACAATGACATGAAGGATGTCCCTTTCTGCTGGTTAATATTGGATTACGCAGATAACATATATGTTCAGTTATTAACGCAACAGTTTACAGAAGTGTCATAAACTTGCAAGGGATTTTAGCCACGATGAATTCCCGGACTTCAGGTAGAGTCTAAGCGCTTAGCAGGATACCTTGAGAAGCAGAGCATTGCAAGTAGATTCGCGTATGGCTCTCTCAACCCGTTTAGGATTTGACATCAACAAGCCGTCCCCAACTACCTGAATAAGCAATGCAATACCCCTTAATCTACTTCTTCTAACAAATGCTTCGACCAGGCCTTATACCGGGAAGCATAAAGAAGACCCATGAAAAACAAACACATTTTATGCATAACAAACCTGACAGAGTGCAAGGCTAGAAAAGTATTTGATGTGTTCCCAGTCTTCTTTGTCAAATGGATCTTCAATTGACACAACTTGATAATCTGTAGTCCCAAAGATAGAACCAGAAAGGAAAGGGTAGGACGTATAAATAAAATAGCTACAGTATTAGCCAAGATGAAAATGAAATTTCAATCTAAGCATTATACTAACCAGCACATAGCTCTTTGTACATTTCAATCATATCCTCCCCCGACTTGAAATTTTGCCCTGATTTGTTTGGCGTTTTGAAGTCCAAATCATATTTTGTGCCTGGCATGAAGAGTAACAAAAGGATTCAGATCTAGCATGCACCAAACCGTTCTTCTATATGATGAAACTCTTCTACCACCAATTATTCTGAAACAGCTACTTCTGAACAGATTGGGGAGAAGAGCAACTTATATATGAAGTGGTCACGACACAAATTGAATAGTACTATGTGGAAGACAACTATATGTCCAGAAACTTCTCGAGGAAGGTCATGTTGAATATAACATTAACTCCGCATGGTAGATTATAACATTTTAACATGCTTGACAATAATTAGTAATTACATGTCAGAAGGAAAAAAGAAGAAGAAAAAGAGCCCAGTGACTTTACTAAAAGAAAACGCGGTAGGCAAGAAGCTTATTTACCTATGCAGAAATCAGTGGCAGCAACATCAATAGCTATCTTTATCCTGTCTTTGTATCCTGTTCTCGCAATAGCCTCTTTTACCAGATCCAAACCTTCTTGAACACTGCCAGCAACAAAGACCTATACACTTAAAAGGTCCTCAATGCTTCTACTTGCAATGACAACCTTTTATAAAAAGGCAAAGTATGACAACAGCATCAATTAAGCTTTAATCTTATTTTCTTTTCTGGGATAAATGATTGTGGTCAAGTTGGAAAATTCCCGTAAAAGTGGGAAAGGCGACAGTTGGTATATGGTGTTGTCATAAACAAGATTCTGCTCACGATCAGGAAATCCTCATAAAATACGGAAAGGAAATCGGATTACCACCCAGTATATGGTGAATAGGAATTATCACCTTGAGATGTTTGGAGTAAAGCCACCAGCGTCACCAACATTGCATCCATGTATGCCATATTTTTCAGTAATAACAGCCTGTTATATTTAATACGCAGATTAAATCAATAAATGAGCATTGAGAATGTATCTAACCTTTCAGTTAGAAGAACATCTTTGGCAATGCAAAAATAGGAAGAGGGAATTGCTTTAATTCCTCAAATTCAAACATAACAACTATCAGGCCTACACCATAACTGCTTGTTCAAAATTATTCTCGAGTGCTTATCCATCAAAGAAAAATAGAAAATATTAGGAGGCACTTAGTGTCTAACACTGAGATGCGCCATTGTCCAAAGATATTAATCTAAGTCCAACATCTCGATATTCTTCCTATTCCTTTCTCAACTCCGGAAAAGTTGTTCCACAATCAAATTTTCTGAACTTGAACAATCTTTGAAGGTGAAGCTTCCAAACCTCGAGAACAGATCCCCATTTTTAGTCATGCTAGTTATTTCACATTGACATTCTGTGTAGCGCTCACATAACTTCTGAAAGTCTAATCTAATGTTCGGAAAAGAGTGGCAACAGATGAAAAAAATAGAGAAAGTAGGTCTCAGACTGATAAAGCTATGATCTCTCATGCAATGAAGAGTAAGAAAATATAAATCAGAACAGGAGCTCACCTTTAGATGAGAATATGTCTCAGAGCCCATCTGCAATGCCTCATCAAATCTGTTGGCTCCAATTGGAAGAATCATGATGTCCTGGATTTAACCCCCCCAAAACAAAGTTATGTTGCATAAGAGTTTAGCAACTGATCAGATGCAATAGAGAATTCACCAAGTCCATTAACACGTCAGCTTTCTGATGGATGATAAATTCTCACTAATGCTATGAAGGTGACTTGGAGATTAAGATGATTGAATCGAGACTCTAAATGATAACTCATCTAAAAGGATGTGACACACTTCACTGACAACGAAAGCATATCTCTCTAGACTGATATCCAATAACACCGTTACCTGAATGGCCAAATTATTTCCAGCATGTTTTCCACCACTGATGACAGTGAAGGCAGGAACAGGAAGACTGAGGCTAGTGTTACCAAAAAGCTCAGCAATGTGCTTGTAGAGGGGAATCTGAGATGTATAATGTCAATTCCATGAGCGGGAAGCACAAAAACTATAGGTTACGGAAGCAATACGATATTCAGACTAGAATACGACATACCTCTCTCTCAGCAGCTCCCGCCTTGCACGCAGCAATCGACACAGCTAATATGGCATTTGCTCCAAGTTCGCCCTGCATATTACTAGATGTGAGAAATGACTGTGACCCAATAGAAATCTCATATGAAGCCAAATCTACATGCCTGAACTTGTTATAGTCTAGAATTAGCAAATTCACTAAAAAGGGAATTTCGAAATCTAGTTACGCTACCTAGAAATCAATAGACATAGCAGTTACAAAAGCTGAATAACAGAAAATAGCCAGCACTCCCACCTTCTTTTCTGTTTTGTCCAAGTCTATCATGGCCTGATCAATTTGAGACTGTAATGTTGGATCCATACCAACCAATGCTTCAGAGATTTTCTCATTGATATTCTTGACTGCTCTCATCACACTGTTCCCAAGATACATTCCCTTGTCCCCATCACGTAGCTCAACAGCCTCGTACCTGTGATCAACAAGCCAAATTCTTACATTCACCGCAAAAAGGAGAGAAAAAATCAAATTCCAAACTCAGCAAAGGTAAGGTTGCTTACATTCCAGTAACATCACCACTAGGAGCTGAAGCGCGGAAGGTGCCTTTGTTAGTTTGCAAGTCGACTTCAACTGTTGGAATCCCTCTGCTATCAAGGATTTGCCGGGCGTGAATCTTCGTTATGACTGAAGGAACAGCCTTCTTCATATGATTGGACTGTTAGAGCCAAGAAACCAATAGAATGAATTCAATAGTCCGTTTGGTGGCCGAGAACCCAAAAGAGATCATGAAGGAGGAAGAGGAAGCAAATGAAAAGAGAGCGAAAGGATATACGATGAAGAGAACAGGATCAGGAGTTTTGGCCCTGACGGCGGCATTGACGGCGTCCTCGATTTTGCGTGAAAGCAAGTGCTTTTCCAGATACTCCTGCACTGACATCTCTGCCGGATAGCTTCCTTGTTTCTGCACCGCACCTAGCAAGCAGAGATTTTAATTAAGGGGTGGGAGCGCAGTCGAAAGCTCTGAAAAGGATCGCCCGCACAGATCCTCAAACCTCGACGATTTCAGTTGGTGGAGTGAGAGAGAGACTTTAGAAAGCTTGCTTCCTCTACAAAATCAACAATAATGAATGAAATCTTTCTCATCCGACGGTGCCGGTGCCGCCGCTACCTGCTCTCTCTCTCTCTCTCTCAGGCGCTCGAGCAATGAAATGAAACTGCGAAAGCTAGGTGTGTTCAAATGGTTTGGTTACCGTGGTAATCGTTTTAACCGGTATTATTTGGATAATTTGGTTTGGTTAATTTGGATAATTGGTTTGGTTTTGTTAAAGTTTTTAGCTTGTTTAGTTTGGTTTCAGATACTCCTAACCAGTCAAACCAAATTAACCAGTTAAGTAATTAGTCATATATCTAATATATATTATATACACATATTTAATACTTTGCATAACCATTCAAGACTTAACATTCATCCCTTTTAGACTCATAAAATATAAAGCTCAATATTGCTCATATAGTGTATATTTGTATATGTAAAGTGTAGACCACAACATATGAACGCCTAATTTAGATAAATTTCATACATTATGATGGATGAAAACTTGAAAGGAATGTCATTTCCAGCCTATGATAATTGCTAAGAGACTAAGTCAATTTACACAAACACAACAATTCATTAACTCATACCATTGTCATAAATTTTTGTTAGGTGAATACTTCTATACTAATCGTAAGATAATTGTCTTAGTTGCATGTATTTTTGTTAAGGGTCAACTATAACTACGTGTTGATTGTTATGTTTTATTCATTATATAAATTGTAAATTGTTGCATTAACTGAAAAAATTTCATCGTCAATGATAATGTGATTTTTATATTGGTTAATCTGGTTAACCAATTAACCAAACCGATTAAACTTTAGTTTGGTTAATTTGGTTGTTGTATTAGTTTGGACGGTTTGGTTATGATATTGTATTCCATGGTTAATGGAATTTAGCTTTATTTGGTTTAGTTATAACCATGGTAACCATTTGAACACCCCTAGCGAAAGCTGTCTTTCCAGTCTTGCCAATTTTCTTTTTTCATGAGGTTCAGCTTTCCAGTCTTGCCATCCTAGTTATTCTGCTAATTTGAAGATTCGTTAGTATATACTAACTAATATCCAAAATGTATAAACTAATATCCAAGTCTACTAAGTATTTAAATAACACAGACTAGTATTGAAAACATCACAAACTAGTATCCAAATAGCACATACCAACTAATATCCACAATCAACCAACTAGTATTCAATATGGATAGTCTTACAGGTTATCTGGATACTCTTATGTGTTATCTGGATATTAATTATGTGCTGTTTAGATACTATTCTGTGTTGTCTAGATATTAATTTGTGAATTTGGGATAATAGTTGATTCATGATGGATATCAGTTAGCAAACTTTGAATACTAGTCTGTGCTCTCTAGATACTTTAGTATTTGGATATTAGTTCATGTATTTTGAATATCAGTTAGTATCTGCTAACGAATCTTAAAGTTAGCAGATTAACTTTTCCCTCTTCTCTTGGACCTTGCCACCTTTGTTGTCAAACTGATTTAATTGGTTTAGCTGATGGAACAAATTATTTGAGATTTATTGGGCGGATCGAAGTTTAACCTGTTTAAGTAGTTGTATCCATTAGATATGGGTAAATTTCAAGTTTGGTCACTCAAATTACTAAATATTTCACTTTAGATCACTAAAAAAATTTATTTCATTTGTGATCACTAATATCTAATGGCTACCAATTTGGACTTTGGAGGCAAATTTGTTGGAAACTGATCCAACCGCCCGACTTGACGCAAATTTCGTTCGTTCATGGAAAACCGGATTTGCCGCAATGTGTAATGCAGCTTGGTTATCACAGTGTAAGGAAGTGGGAGCAGCCATTTCCACGCCAAGCTCCTGAAACAGATAACACAACCAAATGATCTCACTAACCGTGCTAGCCATAGCACGATATTCAGCTTCTGCAGAAGATCGTGCCACAACGGTTTGCTTCTTTGTCCGCCAGGAGATGGGACTGGCACCGAGTTTAATGAAATAACCGGTGGTTGAACGCCTAGTCTGCTGACAACCACCCCAATCTGCATCACAGAATGCGGTGAGGGTGAGAGAACCAGCAGAGGGAAGAAACAAACCTTGCCCCGGAGCGCCTTTCAAGTAGCGAAGTACACGATGGGCATCATCAACATGGGCCTGACGAGGATCGTGGACTGCTTGACTAAGAACATTGACTGCATACACAATGTCCGGCCGAGTAACCGTCAAGTACAGAAGACGACCAACCAATCTCCAATAGGACGAGGGGTCGGCGGCAGGGGCACCTTCAAAAGTATTTAACCGGTGATTTTGTTCGATAGGAAAGGAACAAGGCCGAGCCGCCTGAACACCTGAATCGGCGAGAATGTACAAGGCATATTTTCTCTGAGTGAGCATAATGCCTTGCCGGGAGCGGGAGACCTCAACACCCAAGAAATATTTCAATGGGCCAAGATCTTTAATGTTGAATTCCTGGTGAAGAAAATCCTTAACCTTCTGTATCTCGGAAAGGGACGTACCACCAAGAATGATATCGTCAACATAAATGAGAGCAACAAGGAAGGTGTCGCCGCGCCGAAAAGTGAAGAGAGAGGGGTCGGCCTTCGACATAGTGAACCCATAACCAACCAGAGCTGCAGTAAACTTTGTGTACCAGTTACGGGAGGCCTGCTTGAGACCGTAAAGAGACTTGCAAAGACGACAAACTCTGTTATCACCGGGCTAGAGAAACCTTGAGGGACGCGCATATAGACTTCCTCGTCCAAGTCACCATGCAAAAAGGCATTGTTGACATCCAGTTGGTGCAGAAACCAACCTAGCTGAGCGGCGAGAGCTAAAACACAACGAACAGTGACCAACTTGGCCACAGGTGCGAAGGTGTCATGAAAATCCACACCTTCGACTTGAGTGTAGCCCTTGGCGACAAGACGGGCCTTGTATCGTTCAATGGTGCCGTCGGGGTTGTATTTGATACGATACACCCACTTTGAATCAATGAGACGTTTGTCAGGGGGCAACTGCACGAGCTCCCAAGTCCCATTGGCTTCAAGCGCAGTGACCTCTCGCTGCATAGCATCACGCCAATATTTGTGACGAACAGCCTCATGAAAAAAACGTGGTTCTGATGATCGTGAAATAGCTGCAATATAAGCACGATGATCAGAAGATAGACGGGCATAATTAACCACAGCATTCAAAGGGTATCAGACTGAGGAAACATGACCTGAGTGGGACGTGGGTAGCCGAACATCATAGTTATAAACTAGATAACCAGGAGGCTTGCGGGGACGGAGCCCGTGTCGCGGCTCAGGAGGAGGAACGGTTGGAGGTGTGGACGCGCTGGGGACAGCCTCCTCATCCACAGCAGCAGCTGGCGAACTAGAGTGAGATGCATCGAGTGGAGTAGCATCAGCGTCGGGTAGCTGCACCAGTGCGGAGGGAAAAAAAGCGAGCTCATCTTCGGCATCATCAACGACACCACGAGGAGCAGGAGCCGAAGTACGAAGGGGCGGAAGCAGCTCATGGAAGGGAAAACGGTCTTCACAAAAAATAACATCCCGTGAAGTGAAAAGCTTCCTCGTAGTCAAATCCATGACGCGATACCCCTTTTGCGTAGCAGGGTAGCCTACAAAAACACATGCTCTCCCCCTTTCACCGAATTTGTCCAAATGTGAGGATGTATCCTTTGCATAAGCTAGACAGCCAAAAGTCCGGAGGTGACTGTACGATGGCTGTTTTCCGAAAATGCGCTCATATGGAGTATGATTTTCGGTAGCAACAGTAGGTAGCCTGTTGATAAGGTAGACGGCAGTGAGAAGACATTCTCCCCAGAATCGTATAGGGAGATTGGCATGAAACCGCAATGCCCGAGCGGTCTCAAGTAAATGCCGATGCTTCCTCTCTACCACACCATTTTGCTGGGGTGTGTTCACACAGGAAGTTTGGAGAACGATACCCTCATGTTCGTAGTACGTAGTTAAAACTGTTGTCTGAAATTCAGACCCATTATCAGCCTGTATACAACGAACACGTTTCCCAAACTGCCGTACTACCTGTTGACAAAACATCTGCAGATAACGACCAGCCTCAGACTTATAACGGAAGAGATAAACCCAAGTTCCACGACTGTAATCATCAACAATCGTCAAAAAGTAATGTGCTCCACTGAGACTGGGAGTGGGATAACCACCCCAAATGTCAATATGAATCATCTCAAAAAATCCTTTGTTCTGATAGATTAGACTGAAAAGGAGTTCTAGTTTGTTTAGCTCGCAAACAGGCCGAGCAATCGTGAGAATCCAAACGAGAACCAGAAACTAAATTCAACAAGGAAAGCTTGTCAAAGGATGGATGGCCCAGGCGTGAATGCCACAAAAGAGAGGATGGACGCCTGTCCTTCTGCGCAGTGTGAGCCATGGCCAATGGAAGCTTATCGAACAGCCGCAAATGATAAAGCCCATCAACTGGTGTCCCCATCCCAATCATCCTTCTGGAGCGTAAGTCCTGAAGAACACAGAAGTCGTGCAAAAATATCAGTGCTAAGGGAAAATCCTTAGTGAGCTGACTAATGGAGAGCAGGTTGCATTTAAAATCCGGAGCAAGAAGAACACGGGGAAGGACAAGGCCATTAGAGAGTTCAACCGAACCCACTCTACTCACATGGACTGCCATCCCATTCGGAATCCTCACATGTAAATGTGATTCTGGTCAACTGTGAAGAAACAAGCTCTCATCGCTAATTACATGAGCATTACAACCAGAATCTAAGATCCATGTAGCATCACCGAGATATTTACCTGAAAAGGCATTATCATCAAGGAGTGGAGGATCACCGCCTAGGAAGCGCTTGAGTTGCTCAATTTGGGACTTAGACAGGCTAGGAATGACACTATCCTCAGCGTTGGCAGCAGCTGCTTTTGGACTGGGGCGGCCTTTCCCTTCATTGCGGCGGCCTTTCCCAAAAGTATGTTTAGTGCCGCCACGATCAAGATAACCCGGGGGATAGCCAATTAGCTCAAAACAACGCTCCTTTGTGTGCCCAAGCTTCTGACAGTGAGAGCACCGGGGTTTATTTTCCCCACCAGCCCGATCAGAGGTGTCTTCGGGCTTGCCACGATCTTGCGAAGCGGCAAAAGCAGCAGCTTCGACCTTGG